TATCGCTTTCGCACGATGTGGAGGCTATTGTACCGCGTTATCACATGAGCTCTTTGTAATATACTGTATAGTTCTTTGTTTCGGAAAAGCTGACGTTTCGGAAGGGTTTGCCTTCCTCAAAGCCTGAAAAATTCTGTGTTTGACTGGCAACAATATAAATAATTATTCGTTCAGTGCCGAGTTTAATTGAAAGTCGGTCGTGGGAAGACTGTGTTGCTCTCACACGAGCTTTCTGTACAAGCAGATCTATCGGAGTGTACTAAGAAACTTTTAAGAATCTGTTCTTAAACTCTATGTATCTATTTCTTCTGTCAAACCTTCACCCATTAAAAAAAGAGATAAAACTTTCAGCGTTGACATCCGACTTCATTAAGCATCGTTTGGAGCGAATGCATAATGGCTCGCAGTGGCCTGCCGATGTATAGAGCCAGTGCTGCTATCCTTCGAGAGAAATCTGGTACCTTGGCGACCCCGGAGGAATGGAAGGCTTGGTGGACCATGGGTTCAGGTTCAAATTTCACGTGTGGGTTGCAGGGCGCCTCCGACCACCGCGCCACACACGTCCTTTTTGCCCATTAGAAAAGAATATAAGTATCATCGTGAGTCATACTTCAATTTGTACAAGTAAAGCTGTTCCAGTTTGCAGTTTCTTATTTTCATGCCTTTTTCTTTCACCCAGTGGAATACAAGCGGTTTACCCTCCAGTAAAGTGAGCAGTCTTAGTCACATTTGTACATTATGTCTTTTCTACCAAAATCTTCGATGTCTCATTTTTTACTTACTCTTTGATACAGCCGTTCCTCATATTTCTTGTCCAATCCGTTACATAAGCTATACTTGATACCATCCATTTGACATCATTTATTGCTACCACTTACTCCTTCTGTGCTCTATTGAAGTTTCTATCCCACGTTACATCAACAGCCTATTACAGGAGTTACTTCTTTATTTCCAATATGACTTCATGCCTATTACTTCATCTTTACTCGTTGATTTTTATGCTTTTATTTTTAAATCTATTAATATTATCACATCCGTATTATAGCCACGAGCAGTTTAAGCAGTCAGGCTTTAGATTTGATCTGCGGTGACATTAAAATGTCCTATATGGGAAACGCTTACAAAGGCCATTATTCTGCCTAGAACTGGTGCTTAATTTGTGCTGACGGCCTACTAGAACTACTGCATTCCTTGGAGCGAAACACTGTAGAAACTGGGAATTTTCGTGCATAAATATTTATTTCGTGGTAGTCCCATAACTGCAGTCGGATGAATTTATTACCTCTAATTCCAGCTTTTCCTAAAAAAAAGTTGCTTGCTGAAAAATTACGTCGTTTTTTAATTTAAAGTGCCAAAACTAATTTTAAAAACCCTAGCTTGATCGATATCTAAGCTTTAGCTCATACATACTGAGCTTCTTGCCTTTTTACCCTCATCGAATATTAAATTTTACCGTACATGATCAAATTCGCTTTCATGTTTTTTCGTCATTCGAAAAATTTCTCATTGCTATGAGTTGAATCTTCTAGTTAACAAGATGAGCATCCTTTGACTAAGAATATTTCTAGTAATAATTTTCGGCGAAGCAGTTCATCTTTTTCTACTCGACTCTGTCCAAGTAGAGAACTATTTGCGGTCTAAATTTTGTATAGCTTTTTTTCAAGTTTTTAAACGATGAAAATCATGGTGTCCAATAGTATTTTTAAAGCGCTATCGTCCGGTATATTTCGAGCTTCTAGAAATCTTCGATCGCTGACTTATCGTCAATATAGCATCCTAGAACGATAAACTTTTCTACCAGTTATATGGTATCATTTCCGATAAGAAAAGAGAAAGGCCCTTTTTTCTCGTTTTTAATAAGGAGTAACAAGAAGCATCTTTATGCTAATTCAACCAGTTGTTTCGACGGCAACAAAGAAAAAGTTGAAGTACGAAACTTAAATGACCGTCCCACGAATCCAAAAATCTACCACAGGTAGGAGCTCCTGAGCTCACTCATATTACTACGCCCCGTACCTAAAGGCAAATTTTTCACCTCAACTAGGCACATTTCCTACGCCATCTAAGACTGTGTTCAGCTGGTTTCTCGCAATACTTGGAAGTCTCATAAAGGACAAAATGGCGAGTGCTGAGAAGAAACTGTTCACTGTGCTGTGAATGAAGTTTACATACAGATTTTTTTATGAATGGGTTATGAAAATGCTCGGCTGAGTAGACTTAACTTTAGTTTGACCTTTCCAGGCTTTGAAGAAACCGAATTGCAAAAAACGTCGAAAAGCATTGAAAAAACCTTGTTATTAACAGCCTCGTTTCTACTCAGGAAAAAAAACGCGATTATGGCCTATTCAGTGTTTGATCAGATAGTTACTTAGGCCTGTCAGTATTACAGTCTTCAGAAATAGTGGAAATTCTCTTCTGCTTTTACGATCGTGCAATTTGTTAGGAAACACATATCCATTTGGCTCATTAGTACGATTTCTCTTTACAATTCCAAGTCGGTCGTTCTACTTTCACTAGGACGCGTTGCGTAAAGCAAAAATCTAATCCAATGCCTGATGATGGGTACGATAATAACACTCGCTGATGGCGTCTGCCTTGTCATGATGGAAAATTGGTGATCGTCGTTGACTAGAAATAACATACGCTTTATGATTGAATCGGCTCTGAGAGGCTGAAGTGCTGTGCCCTCATTCAAGCCGTAATCGTCGGATTATATGCAGACGGGCAATTAACGTACAAGTGTTCTCGAACAACGAAAATATTTAGGATTACGCTTACGGTATACTCAGTTAAGAAGTCACAATTTCGCTTCTGGGCGGAGTTCCAAACACACAAACACACAAATACACAAGTACACACACACACACACACACATACCCGCAAACACATGTGTACATATAGATGTATATATATATATATATATGTACATGCACATAAAGTCCTAACTTTAGGTGTTTTCGGAATGCCTTTGGCGTCTTTTTTACAGTTCGTGAAGTTAAACACAGGCTATTTCAAGTGATTTACACCGACATTGTAAAAGTTAGAAGAAATGGGAAAACTTTCACAACAATAATAGATTACTTTTAATAGTTGATGGTCCATATTTTTCATCTCTAATTGATAAAGCTAAAAAAGATAAAGCCTTTGGCCTTGATCAATCCCTGAGGGACGCGCTATGCATTCTACCTTATTAGGCATCGTTTGGAAGTCATTGAATGCATATCTGGCATTTACAATCAGTCGTGGTGGTCTACCGATGTATCGAGCCAGTGAGCGCAGAGATTGATTCCATGGGGCTGTTGCAGAGCGCCTCCGACCACTGCGCCACATGCATCCCTACGCTCTAATTAATAGGATAATAAACTGTTGCGATCCCTTATGTTAACTGCTTCATCTGCTTGTTGTTTATAGGCTTACAGTGGCGACAAATTCGGTAAAACTGTTGGGTTTTTTCTACGCGTTTGGATAAGTAATTACGGAAAATGGTTAAAACGTCATTTTCATACTTAAGGAGATATGTTTTATGTGATCTCGTCATTCATTAGTATCAATATACTAGAAAATAATTATGCCTGTACTATTTTGATAATTTTTTCTTTACAATGCCCACCAATCTCTTTCGGAGATTTGAAGGTTCGTCATGGGGAATGGTGTACTGAGGCTGAGGTGCGATACACAGAAGAGATTCATCCATTGGCAAGGTCACTGGACCATGAACAAGTCCAACATTTGCGCACGGCTGACCTTTTAGAAATAAATCTATGTTATGGTAGAGAAAAGCCTGACACGGAAGGGAACATTGACGGCGAAAGAAACAATGAAAACAAGGAATCTTGCACCAAAATGTGATGGTCTTCGCAACCAATGACAGAAAGAAGCTCACAGAACGCTTTTGTATTTAGTAATTAGCACAACTGAGTTCCCTTAGACCGATTCAATGGTTTGAAAGGGATGCTTTTCATTAATATACGAGCTGGAACTAATCAAAGACAGTTGCTGAAATTGACTTATTGTATGTTATTTCTCTGACTTGTTCAAAAGGTGACACTTACAGCTCTACCGCCATCACATTTTGAAGTAAAGTGCCACTGCGAAAACTTAACTTTGCAAGAAATAGTTTATTCTGATGCTCTTTTGCGCGTTTATATGCAGCACTGTTCCGTTCCAAGCAAAGGAAAACTCATCTTTGCGTTTAAAAGAAATAGAATCCTAAAGAGTAAAACTCGAATAGCAAAAGATAGGGGCTGCGTAAGCTGACGGGACAAATCGAAGTATAACAATGCTGAAAACACGAAGTTTCCTGTAGAAAACTATTGCCATTCAAGAGAGCGACCATGCGAAAATACGAAAACACGTTGACAATACTTTTTAACCCTTACATTTTATTTTCCTTTTTTTGACTTTGAACGAGAATAGGAGAAGTTTTCAGTGTCTTTCAAACTGACCGTCATTTAACCACGACATTAATAAATAATGACTTTCTGGTACTTCATGAGGTTAATAAACAGTTTTATTCGGCTAACGTTTCGAATTTGTCGTTTTTCTCAGAACGGATGGCCCGATTTAAGGTCCACAGTTACTCGTTCTTTCGATGCGGTGACTTCGTCGCGGTATCGGAGAAAAATGGGAGAGGAAGACGAAGTCGCCGAAAGCTCAGCCGAATAAAAGTGTTTTCCTATGTTTTTTTTTTCACTGCTAATACTCATTCCATTTGAACAGCATTAATTTCCTAACAACGATGGAACTTAACGTTTTATTGTCACCCAAGTTTCTTTTAGCCTTTATCCAACTTCTCACCTTCATTAATCTTCGTACTCATCTGCCAAATGATTCGAACGGCTTAAGAAGGCGTGGCCAAACCTTATTGGCTAATCTTGCCATGGGCGTGGCAGGATTTGTTTAACACCGATGATTATGGTAATGTGTGAGCTTCTGTGGGCCTTTAATACACATTAATATAACATTTCCTTCTCTTCCTCGCTTAATCTCTATTTTATTAGATGCTCGCCCGTTATTCATAGGCTAGCATTACTTCTACAGATATAATGTCGTCTCCGAGCACAGCACGTGCGATCAGTGGTTTAGCACCGTCAAGTTTAGAACAGATTCTGAGGTTACGTCATGAACGTAATCAACGGACACCGAAATGCGCCCGATGTAGAAATCACGGCACTGTTTCTGCGCTTAAAGGTTTGCTTCCATTTTTAAGACTGTAAAGTTTTGGATGCCATGTGCTCATAGAAAGAAATTGGAGATACGAGGAAACCACGTCAAAAATTGAATTGATAATAATAACAGTAATAATAACAATAATACTAACAGCAATAAGATAAAGAATAGAAAGTCATACGCTTTCAATGAGTCTTCCGAATCGCACAACGAAGAAGATTGGCAGGCACTCCAAAATACTGTAGGTTATGGGTGGTCGAACCATTCGGGAAGCAGAAATGTTTTCAGCAACGCGTAATATCGCTAAGCCATTCATTACGACATACACTAAAATGCTGAAAAATAATAGAGATGAGAACGTGAAAAAACTTTTTTATGAAAACCTTTGCTATAGTCCGTTCTGTATAATTGAGGATTTAACGTTTGCACATTTACTCATGATTGCGATCAGGTCACAGATTTTTTTACATGAACCGTCTTCTCGCCTACCGCGCTGATCACATCACTTCTCACATTCGATTCGTTCCGTGGCATCCACTGTCCACGAAGTTCTTCCGACTTTTACGTGCGACTTCGGTTGCTGCTTGAGGATTTTCGTTTAATCTTGAATGTCATAGAATGCTGGTCGAGTCGATTTTCCCTGGAGTCCTTAGATAGCTAGGTTGGAGCGCTCCCAATTGGTTTGTAGAGAGTGATTTTTTCATGAACAAGTCCTGCACCAATTTCCCGATCTCGGAGGGAGGAGAGAGTTGGTTGGCCGGGGCGGAATCGAACTGGCGGACATTACTAACACTGTGCTAACCGCTCCAAATCACGTCACTGATTTAAATAATCATCTTAGGTTTATTGCTTCAGAAGTTTTGCTAATAAACTTGCTAAAGGCTTAAAAAGGCTTAAAGGTAGTTAAAGTATCTGACGTTTTTCAGGGCAAAATCTGCTACTTTTCTCAAACTCTAATGGCATCATTGAGATGTAATTTAAGCTAAAATTAGGGACTTTGGTGGATAAGTTTTGAAATTAGCCCTATTTTCTTTTGAGCATTTCGGTTAAGCTTACCACACAGTTCACGTGCCACACTAATAATCGAAACCACAACTTGTCACAGACTTTTTCCGTTTATAGAATGATTTGCAGGTCATAAACGTTACTGTAAGTGGAAGGATTGTATGTGTGCGAAATGTACACTTATAGCTGAGCGACAAAGGGTGATGGCTGCTCAAGTGAGTTTCTATGAGTTCGGACCACATCAGATTTAGAAAGGAAGTCTTTAACAGCAGGAACCTTTGATTCAACTCAGTAGAAGATGAATGTGTCGTTTTCTTGTTCAGCAATCGCGAGGTTTTTAAACAGCATATATTTACTTCCATAAAAAACACAATACAATACAACGCTAGCTGACGTTTCGGCAGTAACGCCTTCTTCAGAGCCGCTTTTTCGTGACTTCCAATGAGGAAGTTTAGAACAGCTGATTATAGTCGCATGTGGTTGACGACAATCCTGGGATCCTGGGAACTATTACAAGTTGTATCAGTAGAAGATATTTGTGTAGAATTTTTCATTTTTGCCTTTTAAGAAAACTAGAAAACATGAAAAGTATTATTTAAAAAATCTTATATTAGAGGGATGGAAAACTCCAACACGTAAATTTTTGTTGCTGAAACAGGATAAAACATGAGCACCATTTAGATTTTCTGTGTGGACAATGATTTGTGCAAAATTTCTGGACCTTCTATAAAACCAGTCCTAGCTAGAAAATTTTCTTTTAAAGATTATGCGTGGTAGGCGCAGGTAACAAGCCTAAATTAAGAATAGCATTCTAATTTTTAATAAACGATGCACAATAAAGGTTGCGTTACGTCGTCAGCAGAGCCAAGAAGAAAAGGAAACGAAAGACCTCCAGATGCTACTCGGCAGTAATGGTAACGTTTGACTAATTTCACATCATTAAGCATTTTTTGTCATATTGCATTCGAAAAATGTGAAATAGTTGATAAAAGTAGTATGTAGCGCTCAAGAAGACCTTCTACTTTGTTCCATGAACAGTTGCCCACATAGGACTGCTTGATGTTTTGTATGTGTCACGCAACATTCAACTCATTAGTAGTATTGTGTCCAGGTGTGTAGGTGAATGTAAATATGACCCGCTGAGACTTTCTCATTTGGGAGCTATGTGTTAGCATAAGTCAATGGGAAGCCTCAATACTCTTTAACACTGGCAAGCCAACCCTAAGCATACAATCATTTGTGACCGACCAATACCATCAACACTTCTTCGTGCTAAACATGACACCCATCGGCAAACATTACCAATGCAGAAACAGTACTATTGAACACGAATTGGCCTTTTTACTGCTTCACAAAACATTTTTGTGCAGATTTCAGCGCATGGTAGAAAATCAACTTCGACTTCCTTAGTCTTAAACAAGGGTTGGAACCTTCAGTATGTGGTGTTTATGAAATGCAAATGTATGTGCGATGAAGAAATGCTTGGAATATAATTTCTTCTTAAAAGATCAATCATGGATTTTTGCTGGCAAAATCTAGGGTGGGCTTCAGTAAGTTGTGCCACCAAAAACATTCTGGGATAAGGTGTAAACCACAATTCTAGATAAAGATTGTTATATGATCAATGTATAGTGAGATGGTGAGCACACGAAACAGTAAGCTGAATGCTAGAGCAATAATTTTTTGTAGAAATGCCCCAAAAAGCTTCTTTTAAAGAGTTTTCGCATTTGCAGGTGACTACTTATCTTTTCTTTTTAGCCAGTGACTTCTTGGATATTCTACGTAGAAGTGAACAGTCAGATTTATCAGCACCAATCGACAATGAGGGTGAGTTGTGAGAGGAAACCATTCGAGAATACTGTAAAATAAAGTGGGGACGACAAGGTTGCATGCTAAATAATATGTTGTTGTAATGGTAAGCCTACGCGAATTTGTTATGAAAACTTTTTGCCCACCCTTCGGCTCCTTCGCCTTCCTCAGAGCCATATCGATTAGGGTGCTCCGAGAACTTTTCTTTTACGATATTGATTCACATAGTCTCATTGATGAGAATTGGAGTTAATAGGCAATCAAACTAAGTCGAGAACCGTACTGTAATTAAAGGCATCTTCTAATGAGGTTACTTCACTCGTTCTGTGCTTCACTCTGCTCGATTGGACATCATGCGACCACCAAGGCTAAGATCTCGAGGTTTAAAACTTATTATTGAGACTCAGCAGCTAAAGAAGAAGCCGAAATGTTATCTACGGTAAAAATATTTTACAATAATCTACCACCGAAGGAGCAACATATTGATGCCGTAAAGAAACTTTTTGGAAGCGAATAAATGCATCCTACTCGTTTAATTACTAGTTTTACAACTCATGCGGTTCCCGCGGCACTTGTTCCGCTTTGATTCGTTGTCTTACAATTTTCAATCATGGATGGAGATGGATTCATAGTTGCGGTTCACTCACGTTTGGATAATCTGTCGTCTTTTTTTCTTGCGGACGTGCTGAATACTCGCTCTGGCGCGGTTTTCCCTTAAAATCCAGGGTTAGTGCAGTTAGTTCGTTCCTAGGTCTCCACCACAAGCAGACAAAAACTTCTATTAGTCAGAAAGAGGTTCGCTTCATCGCGGATAGGATGTTTTCAAAATGATTTATCGATTTATTATCGATTATCGATTATTCATTATCGAGCGATTTATCAGCCCCAGCCACTATTTATTTGGAATATATATATATATATATAATATGTACTTGTGAAAAATGTTTATGCGAGCTTTGGTTTTCCTCAGCGAAGCGATTTTCTATTGTTCTCAATTCCTTCGAATTATCAGGTTCTCTTCAAAACTCACTTTTGCTCGAGAAAGATTTCGCCACGTTTTAGAAAGTTTTGAAGAAACGTTCAGTGTTCTCGGTGTACTCCTGTAATCGTCTTATAACAGATTTTTGAGTACTACTGTGTTCTACATCATGAGGCCCCATAGAGTGCGACGATCGAGTGATTAGGTTAAGTTTCAAAGGGCGAATGGATTGGATCCGAACTTGTGCTAGATGCTTTGCACTTCGTTTAAAGTATTAAACCGATCGTGGAATATGTTGTGAAATGGCCTTTACTAAAAGCAGTGGAAACATTTCGTAGTTGAGATATTTCGAATTCGACCTGTTTCTGCTATTCAAACATCGTAATGAATAATTATTCATTTAAAAGCGTTCGCCAAATTTTTCCTCTCGTTTATCAACTCTTTTGCCTATTTATATAAAAGTAGTTTTTGGAGAGTTCTATTGAACCGGGTGAGATTTATAATGTAAAAATTGGATTTAATAATCTGAAAAAAGAAGGACGCCTGGAGGTAAATCTCTATTTTTATTCACAACTATTGGCCAGGACGATTTCACAGATGCGAAACTGGTACCGTTTCTAACCTCGCCAGTATTGGCAGTCACTACATTTTGCAGCCATTAGGGTTCGTTCTTTACCTGTTGCTGGATATGAGCGAGTTCATAGGTAGCCATAAAAAATTCATTTTGGTAGGTGAGCGATGTGGTAAGAAGATTTGGGTGTTATCGATAATCGTTTAATAACATTGCGCAATACCGGCTGACCTATAACCATAATAATAGGAAAACAGTTGACTGGATGTGATGAGTGCCGGTGGACCAGCTGCGCATAGCGGATTAAGTGCTCTGAGTTTACCGATAGAATCGACACCAGACGTATTCATATTTGAGCGCATACGAATACTTGACTCATTTGAAGTAATGAGCGCTTTGTATCCCTTGAAAAAGACATAATTCCTCAAATATTCTGTTGTTTTCAGAGAATCATTTCATTGGGTTACAGTTTTACCTTACCAGCGTTTTTAATATTTGCCCAGTCGCCTTTTACCAGCTGAATTAGTTTTTTCGAAACTGGTGACCTATTGAGAAGAATATAATCATTTTGTAACGACTATAAAAGGCTTTCGGCGTTGATCAACTTTTGAATGATGCGCCATGCATTCGACTTCATTAAGCACCGTTGGAAGTGACTGAATGCATATCTGGCCCTTACAATGACTCGCCATGACCTACCGATGTCATGAACCAGTGCTTCTCTCCTTTCAGACAAGTCTCGTATCGATTTGCCGACTCCGGAGGGATGGAAGTCTTGGTTAGCCTGGGGCTCTGGGATGGATTCCATGTGTATTGTAGGGCACCTCTGACCACTGCGTTACAGGGCTCTTTTTTATAGCGATTGTACCTCATTTAAGTTGCTTTACATCGTAGGTACAAATATTGAACTTATCTATATTTACATTCTCCACATTATTTATAAAATCGAAAAGGCGTATTACACAGTGGGTAGCACTCGAAGGCGATGCATTTGGTTGTTGGTTCCATTTCGTGCTCCACACTGAGCAGAGACTCCACCTTTCTGAGGTCTAGAAAGTGTTGTTGAAGGCTAAAAAGCATTCTCTTGATACAGTGGTAGGGTCCACGTGTTATGCCTCCTCCATTATTGTATACGCCAAATATACATCTAACCTGCAAGACCTCTAAGATGCACGAAATAAAGTAAAATTCATGGTGCTTCCTAAGCGGCAAGATCAGCTGCGAACGTTTCGTTGCTCAATCCATTATTTGTAAAGTTAGCACTTATTAAAGATAAAACAGCCTTTAAGCGTTAGCGATAGTGAGTGAAATAGTGATAAGAATCAAATGTTTGGATGCGCTTTATATTCTATTTCGAAGACTCAACGAGAGAAATACCACATGACGAGCTGAAGAAAGTCGAACAAATCGACGCGAACCGTAGCTCTCCCTCTAGTCCTACACGAAATGATCAGGTGTGACCAATCCACTCTTTACCGTTTTGTTTCAAAAGTATTTTTATGATTTTTTGTTCGAGCTCTTTCTGTCTCAGAGCTCTTCGTCGTCTTCGCCTCTCAACGTTTTTCCACCGCATCTCTTTCGTGCACCAGCGTTTCCCATCCCGATTTTCAATCCACTCTTTTACCAAAGAACGATGATGCGTTTCGCTGAAGGTGAGCACTATATGAACTGGTATTGTTTTCAGTGAGAGTCGAAAGTCCACTGAAAATTTGTTTTTCACTTTTTCTTATTGACATGGCATGTTCGTGTCTTAGCACTTTCTGCATTTGATTCTTTTGCCCGCATTCATCGACTATAAAGGTCTTCGAAGAGTTCGCATATTATTCTTGCTGTTGTCTAAAGAATTCGGCTTTTTTGAAAATGTTGTAGAATGCTGGTGGAGTCGATTTTTTTTGCAGTCTTAGTTGTAGCCAAGCTAAGGCTTTTCCACGTGGTTTGAAGGATAGCATTGGGCAGGGATCAAACTGGCACTCTGCGTTTTGATAAACTGTACCACTAACGGTTCCACTATCACCTCGTTACCAAAGATAAAAGCAACAATTACTAATAACCAATACGAATAGGGAATCCTGTGATGATCGGAAACATACAATCCCATGCCTCTTTTACATGTTTCGGCTGTAGTTGATGAATTGAAAAAAGATTTTTTACTTTGTGACAAAAATTTTCTCAGAACACTAAATATCGTCTAACACTTGTTGTCTCATAGCTAAGATTCTGGACAGATTGTTGAAATCTTCAGTATCAGCTACCCCGCCAGGGACGTAAGGGGGGTATCAGTGTACATCACAATTCTGCATCCACGAACACCCTTCTCAATGATTTCCCGTGTCACCGTTACAAGAGGTGTTCCTCAGTGTCGAAATACGATTTGTAGCAGCAGGTTTCCCGACAAGGTCAATAATGTTGAGAAATCCGGTATTCTCTCTGAGAAGTCCTGTATTATCAGTGGTGGCAACCTTCTTGCCAAGAACAGTACGAAGAATTCTTCATACCTAAAATTCGGTACCGAAAGTTTCTCTAGCACGCATTGAGCAGAGTTTATTAAGTGCTGCAATGGCAAGTGGAGAGTGCATTGGTGTCCGTAGAGACTTGATGAGATTAATAGGGTAGCAAGGTAACACAAACGCGCCTAGACACTAGTGCAATATCATTTTAAAAACTGTTTGTTAATGTCGTAGCTTTAACCAAATAGAAATTTGAGAAAAAACGAAAATCCGGATCTTTGTTTTATGTAAAGTCTTGTTTTCTTCAGCATTAATAAAAAGTAACGGGAAAAATTGAAGGAGATTCCCAGAATGTGCAAGGTGGAATTGTGACACCGCAGAAGGAAAGTAGGCGAGTCGGGTACATGAGCCGAAACTTGGTTTGCCGTCCGTACTATGTATCACACTGTTGACAAAGATCCCCTTGTAAAAAACTATTCTGCGAAAAAAAAAAGTCTTCGAAAAGTACTGGTTTTCAGATTATTTGCTTACTTGTTGTTTTTTGTGCTTCACACTCAGCAAACATCTGCCGGTAACTAGATCTGCACCAAACTGCTGTTGGTGAACTTAAGAGCCGAACAATATAAAAGCCGTGAAATGCCTCATACTCGAACTGTTGTCGGGAATGCACTGTTGAATCTTTGGATCTTTTCCGCAATCCAATTTATTCAGCAGAAATGAATATTTAACTTTTTGATGCAAAAGTTCATTTCCTTTATTACTACTGCTGGTTGATAAAAGGGTTTACTCGGCTATCGCTTCGACCTCTTCGTGTTCTTTTTTTTCGAAGACGATGACACTAACCGAGAGGGCGAACGACTGTGGACCATCGAGTCGGATCACCTGCGCTATGAAAGAGTCGTTTTTATTATTACTAAAACATTCTGGGATTTGAAATGCAAGCTACATCGTTCTAATTTGCAGTAGTTGTTCGAGTGCAGAACATGAAAAAGAATCACCTACTTTTCAGTGCCGCCGTTCCCGTTCACCGGT